TGGACACTATGTCCCAGTCTCAAGCCCCCCAAGAGCCCAGTGGCCCTCACAGGGAGCATGCCCAGGGCTCCCAGGAGCCTGCCAAGGGCAGGAAAAGGCATGCACCATCCTGGTATGGGACAGAGATCCTGGCCCTCCTGGAAGTATGAGAGACCATTCAGGATCTCTGCTCCAGACACAGGAACACAGACATCTATGGCCATATGGGTGACAGCCTGGCCACAAGGGGCTACCACCACACTGTGGAGCAGGATTAGAGTAAGGTGAAGGAGATGCAGCAGGGCTATGTCAGGGCCAGGGAGTGCAGCTCTCGCTCTAGGGCAGGACCACTCCTGCCCCTATTATAACAAGCTTCACCACATCCTCGGGGGCAGTACAGTCCCTTTTCTATCCCTTGTGGTAGACTCGGGGCTGGAGATGTCCATTGTCACCTGGCTGGAGGTTCAGTCCAGGAGAAGGAGGGGGAGGAGGAGCTAGAGGAGGAGGAACAGACAGTGAGCACTATCACCATCACCCTGATGTCTCCCAGGCAGCCTCCAACACCGGGGGAGGGATCAGCAGGTGACTGCTCTTAGTTTTTCACGCAAACAGGGTGGGGCTGATGTGCACTGAGGGGCTGTGGTGCGATCATTGCTCGGCCTTCTTGGCCTGGCCCTCACGCTGCTGTCTGTACATGTGGCTGCACATGCAGTGCCAGTCTGCACCACACAGCCCCATGAGGCAGCCCCAGAGCACTGCTTTGGGGAGGCCAGACACACTTCTGACCCTGGAGAGGTGGGAGGGGGGACAAAGGCAAATTGATGCTCACACACAGACTGAGGAGTACTGCACATGGGCATGCCTGCACGCTCAAGGCATCACATACACCCGGGGATAGCACTGCCAGGCACAAGTGTGTGTGTGGCCCCGATGAAATCCCAGGCTGCTCAAGGCTCCTCTCCCGCTCATGGGATCCCATTGTGGATGGATACTTCCCTGCCCTGCTTGTCCGTGGGACAAGGTGGAGGGCAAAGCATGGTCCCCTGGGGGCCTCTGTGAGGCAGGGCTCACTGTCCAGGCCACACATGGCCTTGCTCCCAGGACATCACCATCCTCTAGACTGAGGACTGTTACTCTCAGCTCCCTGAAGAGGGCAAGGCCTCAGGGATAGGGTCTCCAGGAATGACTGACCACCTATCTTTATTCTCCCCAGCTGGACCAGCTGTGACTATGGGGCGATTACCACCAGCAGAGCCAGCTGCCTGACCCCAGGGGAGACACAGGCTCCGGAGAGTCCATGAGGACCTAATGAGGAAGCATGTGTCTGTTCTCAGAGACGTGCAGCAGATGCTAGCCCAGAAGGTCTACGATGATGCACAATAGCAGGCTCACATGTGGATCAAATTGCTGCAGCAGGGCCACATCTGTGCCACCGTCCAGGAGATGATGGCCTACCGGGCTCCTGTCTCTGCCCCCCCGGCCATGCCTAACCCCACTGTAGCCCCCCCCCCTCCTGCCTATCCTCCTGTTTTCCCTGGACCCCCCACCTCCGAGGTCACCAAGGTCCCTGGACCTGAAGTGGAACTTCCACCTGCACCATGCACCACTCTCAGCCCAGCTCTGAGCCTCTCCTCCCCTCCCCAGATCCAGGTTCTCAGCCCTCACTTCTCCCACCCCCAGTTCCAGGCTCTCATCCCCCATCCCTCCCACTCCCAGATCCAGGTTCTCAGCCTCCCTCCTACTAAATTACTTTTATTTAAAAAAAAACTTTTTTTAAACACAAAACTTGTTTTTATTGACTGTACAGGGAAGAGGGGAAGGAAGGGGTTGTTGTGGAGAAGGCATAGAGGAGCAATGCACAGGCCCCTAGTGGGGAGGCCCTGGAGAGAGTTACTGGGGTCCTTCCGTGAAACTCTCCCTCAGGGCCTCCCGGATGTGTACCCCCACCTGATGGACATGGCAGCTGTGCATGGAGATGGCAGCTGTGCATGGGTGCTTGAAGGCCCTTCACTCCTGGCCAGCCTCTGCCTCCGCCTCCCATCCCAGAAGGAAGGCCTCCCCCTTCCTCTCCACAATGTTGTGGAGAACACAACACGCAGAGACTACCTGAGGGATGTTGTGCTCCCCCACATCAAGGCGGGTCAGGAGGCACCTGAACCATGCCTTCAAGCGCCCAAAAGCACATTTGGCCTGGATGTGGGCCCTGCCCAGGTGGGCACTGAAACGGTCCCTACTTGGGTCCAGGTGGCCAGTGTACGGCTTCATCAGCCACGGCATAAGGGGGTAGGTCACATCCCCCACGATGCACAGTGGCAACTCCACATCCCCAACCCTAAAGTTGCACTCAAGAAAGAAAGCGCCAACCTCCAGCTTCTAGTAGAGGCTGGCGTTTCTGAACATGCGGGCATCGTGCACCCACCCGACCACCCAATGAAAATGTGCAAAAACTGTCTGCAGTGGTCAACTAGGGCCTGCAAGACCATGGAAAAATAGCCCTTTCGGTTGATATACTGGGTGGCTCAGTGTTCTGGGGCATGGAGGGGGATGTGGGTTCCATCTATCGCCCCCACCTGCAGTTGGGGAATCCTAGAGTGGCAAATCCTGCCATGATGGGGTCCAGGTCTCCCAAGCAGATGACCATGCACAGAAGGACAGAGATTATAGCCCTCACCACCTGCGGGAGGAGACAAACACACAAAACAGAATCAAAGGGGGTGCCTGAGCCCTTGGTAGGTCCTCGAGCCATGTGGGTTCCATCTATCGCCCCCACCTGCAGTTGGGGAATCCTAGAGTGGCAAATCCTGCCATGATGGGGTCCAGGTCTCCCAAGCAGATGACCATGCACAGAAGGACAGAGATTATAGCCCTCACCACCTGCGGGAGGAGACAAACACACAAAACAGAATCAAAGGGGGTGCCTGAGCCCTTGGTAGGTCCTCGAGCCCCTCCTCCCCTTTCCCTCCCACAAACACCCCAGCAGCCAACCCCTATGAGGCCT